GGGGGGGGGGGGCAGAAATAAGGCAGCAATAACACATTCTCACCTCCATGGAGTACAGAATAATCAGCACTGGCTTGAATAGTAACACTGAAACAGATTAGTGCAGTACTTCCGTGAAAAAGAAAAATCATAGGCAAAGAAAGTTAAACTAGGAAGGATTAACTATGCAGACTTCAGATCTTTCATCATCAGAATTTTTTAATAGTGGGTTAGGCAGACACTTCATAAAAATGACTCAGGAATTTGTGAGTCTGAACAGCTGAGCAGCAGAACATCGGGCCACATTTCCCAAACAGTGCTACGAACCACAAACAAAAAAAGAAGCTCCTGCCCACGCACCACATACTACAGCAAGTTTGTCTGGTGAGGTTGAAGCACATGAGACCTTGTGCCTCAAGGTCCTTGGCAGACTCCAATTTCTATCCATTTCCTAAACCACTTCCATCTTCTTTGCAGAAGTTTATTTCCAATTTAGTCACCATGTAATCTATTCCTTATATTGGTTCTTTCCAGTATATTAAGCAAGAATTCACTCAAGTTTCTTTTTCCTGCTTATGTCACCCAATATTCTACTTCAGATTCTCATTTCACTGTTCTTTACCAAAACAAACAGTACCAAAACATAATAAACATCTTAAACTTTTTCTTAGCAGTAGTAATATGGCTTCTAGGACATCTCCTAGTCTTTCCTACACTAACAATCACACACTGCTCAAAGTACATAAGTAATTACATTAAGTCTATTTACTCCACCTAGAGTTTACAAGCATTATTGATTCATAATACAGATTTCAGGACAGTTAAAAAAAAAAAAGAGTACAAGAGAAGCAGAGCCAATTTTCTAACTGAACAACCATCAGTGTGTAAGAGTTTTGAAGTTAGGACAGTAAAAGCTACAACTCTAAAATAAGTATTTTGTTTACCTAGATAGCTTGGTTTGGTAAACAAGAGAAATGATAGAAAGAACAAGTCTTTGCAGGACACTAATGCAAAAGCTATGATTTATATATACACTTCCATACATACAATAAACTTGTGCAGGAGTTCACCAGATAGAAAAAGAATGTAAAATAAAACATCTTTCTAGTAATTCATCAGGTACCTTCCTTCACACTATATACCAACAGCACTGTTTCAGTACAACATTTCTCAAACCAGCATTTGGCGTTTTGTCTTGGAGATTTCAAGTTATGATTTTATTGTAGAAGACCATAACTAACCTCTGGCTGTCAGAGGAAAACTTTACCACCACATTTAACAGACAGTTGTAATGGTTTGAACAATATCTCTCTCTGCAGGTCTAGCTTTTCCAACTACGAGTCAGCCTGAATTTTCCAGAGAGATCATGTAACAATCTCTCTCCTGTCACCTTCCTCCTCCACACCTTGCACAGGGGTTCAGCTGTTTCAAGGATTCAAGGCCCAGCTGTGATAGGGTGCAGCAGTATATCCTTGACTCAAATTGCTGGGGAAACAGATTAGTTGAGAGCACTGTAAGAAAAAACACAGTGCAGAGCTATGCAAGATAAGAAAGGTGAAATTCAGAGAGAAATAAGATCATTAGTAGCTCAAAGATTCAAATGAAAAAATACATATGTGGAAAGGTGTGACATCCTGAAGGAAAAAAAGCAGCAAATGAGCCAGTTTTGGTGGTGCTGGTGGTGGCTTCAGCAAGTAATGGCACAGAGGATTCATTCCAGGGAGCAGCCGATACCAACCTTTCTCCTCCTGACTGATGCCTCCACGGCCAACAAACACTCTTTAGGCATCTCACTGAAATGTAGGCACACTTAGGCTGACAGATGACTACATCCTAACAAACTTCTGTGTGCACATGCCAAAAATAATTGCTTTATACTTTTAAGCTGCATATACCTTGTTTGCAGAGTCTCTTTGCACATGATTACATGTACCTTAAATGACCCAAAAAAGGACAGTACTACTCAACGTTTTCACTTCAAGTCACTAAATATTAATTGAGCAAGGATACAGCAGGTCCTGCTATCCTGTGGATACACTAGGTCCAAGCCTACATATGCACCCTGAATCTCTGTCAGTTACCACAGTACCTCATGTCCAGGCCAAGCCACTTCCTAGTTAGCACTGCAAGTCCCTTCCACACCCTCAGAAGCTTGACAGGCACAATTCTGATATCAACCACAAAGAATAAGGACAGCGTGCCAGGGAAAGTAAGGTTTCAGGTCTTTATGCTCTGTAATGGCTTGAGACTGGGATCATTAGATGCTACCTCCATTTCCATCAGTGGTCTGATGATCTAACCTTCCTCAACTCAAACCAACTACAGGGTTAAACAGAAGTGTTCTGGCAGGTACTTTCCTCAGTTGATGTCCTACTATTTCCCCTTTTGCTTAAGACCAGAAAGCTGCTACATAAGCAGCTTCTGTTCCAGGTCAGAACTTAACAGGTTAGCACTGAACCATGTTGATTAAAACAAACACTGCTGCTGCATGCAGGACAAATCCTGGGGCAGCCCCTCAACACCTTTACCACAGGTGAGAAAGGACTGGGCATTTAAATACAGCCTACTCCTGAGTCCCCACAACCTGAAACAGAGAGTCACCGCAAGAAGCCCTGCTCCCCATGATAACAGATTGACTTGGAAAGAGAAGCAGCTATCAGCTAGATGTTAATTTGATTGACTTCACACTCAAACGAAGCCTGCACTGGTCTTGGCTAGAAGTAGCAACTCCACTGCCTGCCAGGTCCCATGGAGGCACATGCTTGCCAGCTTCCTCATGTCAACACCTTGCCAATACAGCAGAAAGGTTGAAGAAAAGGCCTTGGATTGAACCTCAACATAATGCAGACTTTCTCCTGTACATTGAAAGGCTCTTAGCACAAGCCTTAACTGCACTTTAATTACAAGACAATAAATATTAGCTATATGTAATAATGAGGATCTAGTCATTGCCCTCTTCTGAACAGGTACAAGGAGGTCATCTTCAGATGCTAAAAAGAAGGGTTGCAAATGCCCTGTGCCTTATCTGGCCACTGCTGGGCAATTATCAGTGAAAAGAAAATTTCACCTGCAAGTTACAAACCCACCTTGTTTTTTTTACTCAATAGAATTGACTGCTCCTGTTTCAGCTCATATAGAAAAGCTTGACTATGCTTTTAAATAAGTGTTCCCTGGGAACATCCATGGCCAGAAATCGTATCTGTTACTGAAAGAACTGTACAGTATCTCTCCCCGACACTGTTACTATATTGTGTTGCTAAACTCAAATGCATCAAGAGCTAGTATACCCATACTGTGGTTTAAAAACCACAGACAACAAGGTATTACTAGTGACAACACAGCTATGGCAGGTCAGCTCAAGTTGCAGAACAGTAAGAAGAAGTCGCAGCAAATACACGGATGTTAGCCCACACAGTGGGAATAAAACCCTAGCTAGGTACTGGAAATCTAATTCAGGTCTGCATAACAAAGCTTCGTTCATGATTTAACTGTATTGTAGAAGTCCTCCAAGTCAGCCTGTTGAGACAGCAGTAGCACACTGAGAAAGGGAAAAAACTACCAGGAAAGGGCATAACATTTTAATCTGTTTACACATGCCCAATGACTAACTTTGAACGGAAATACCTCAATGATAAATACATACGGATTAACATTAGGCAGTAGAAAAAAAAAGTTTAACATACAAACATCCCTTTCTCTGCAATAGTCTTCTCTAGACCCTTTCTGCAGCCTCATAATGATGAGTGCAGAAGGAAGAAATACATAGAAACACACGAAGAGATGACCCGTATAAAGCTGACTCAGGCATATTTGAAATAACTTGCAGCGTGAAGAATTAGCTGATTGCAGGGTGCTGTTTTCTACTGTCTCTTATTAGCAATCTAAAAAATTTCTTAATCCCTACCTTTCCTGGAAAGCATTAACAAAAAAAGGGAAATATAGAGAAAACAGCTTATATAGGCACACACACGGAAACATCCAACTTCTAACTGCACTTGGAAACAACAAAGTCATATCACTCAAGCCTTGGCTGTAGAACACTTGGTCCCCAGTCCAGCAAAGTTACAGCTTAATATTTCAACCCGGGCGCAGGACAGACGCCCCAGCAGAGGTGTGAGGTACAAGCAGCAGGTACTCACCATAGCTCCATCCACAGCCGATAAGGTCTCGTACGTCTTCCACGCTCTCTCCCTCACGCCCTCCGACACTTTCAGAGCATCACAGAGCACAACGAAGTCTGCTTCGCCAATCTCGAGTCTAGAAAAAGCAAAAGACCTCACCAGCGGAGGCCCCGCGCAGCGCACCGGCTGTACACCGGACCACAGAGCTACGAGGGCGCACCGGCTGCTGAAGGGGTGGCAGAGGGGGGAGAAATAGATTTGTTCTAGACAGGAGGTTTATATGATCATGCCACATGCCTGTGTCCCTAATAACTTTTGAGCCCGTTGGATGGGAGAATGAAATTTATTTCTATCAGTAGTGTGAAAATAAGTGTGGGGAAGGAGGGAGAAACTTGCGTGTGCTGAGTGAAAGCTCTCGGCATGTGCTCATGTCTTAAGTGCCATGCAGTTTGTATGGGAAGAAGACGCTGAGTGCAGGAAAAGCTTCGTGATGGAACTGCTGCTCTCAAAGTCAGTGAAGCATGGGACACAAATCCATGGGAAAAAATAGCTCTAGGAGCTGCTTGGCCTTTTTTTCCTTTTTTATTTTTAAAATAAAGTATAATAAACAAACATAGCTGTGCTATACTGAAGAAAACCACATGTCTAGCCCAATGAATTCCAGAAAAGGGTTAGCATAAAAATTACCTCATTGGACAATTATCTTTGCACATAGTTTTAAAACTTCTCATAGGAATGAAAATGAATCCTAATGCTGAGACACACTTTGTCACTAGAGTAGCAAAATCAGAGAAGTGCCACTATCCTGTATGCCACCGTGTTTATTGGATGGAGGGGGCTGTTGCTCTTGTGGGTCACAAGCAGTCTCTGATGTTCAGTAAGGGTATTGTCAACAGTCAGTGTGTACGATCGGGGCTTGCAAAGTGTGATCAAAGCTCCAAGTCTTCCCTCCTTCTCTAGTTGAAGCCTTGCAGCTTTAGTAAGGGGTCATGGAGCGAGTTTTGGCTTGAAGAAAACACTAAAGGCTTGCAGGACAGAAAATGGAAGTGTTTGGTTATCCGGTGCAAGGAGAAGCTGTGGGGTTACGTGAAGCAGCATGCACAGATGGGTTGCACTTGCAGAGACAAAAAGTAGGGGCTGGATTAATTTGTTTAAAGTTGATTGTTTCAGGCTGAATCAGTACCCTGGAAGGCAACAGAGGTTTATCAAAGCCATCACCTGAGGGTAGCAATGTCCTCTGCAAAGGTGGGTACATCTTTTGTTGGTATGAATTTGAGTGGAAGGATGGAAATCTGACATGGCTG